ACGTGTGCTCTTCCGATCTCCCCAAAACCCCAAAACCCCACCATATCTGATAAAGTTATCAAAAGCATGAGAAATCTTAATCAAAGGATATTAAATATTTGAGCAAATTTATAGTATTATAAAACTTAAGAAGTAAAATGAAAAGAGAACTTGAACAGCCCAATAATGGCAAAACTCAAAGTAATAAGGATAAGTCTGCCAATGAAGATAAGAATATTGCAGATAACCATCAGTCTTATGAAGAGGAAAAAGTAGATTAATTAGACCAAAGTGGGGAGATTAAAAAAATGAAATAGTAATCAATTCTTGAGAAGTTAAACCTTCCAGCCTGCATGCTTACCAGAACTCATCTCTGCAAACATAAATTCGGTTGCTATGAAAACACTCTCAGGGGATGGTATCGCAGTTTCGCAATGGCATTTTTGGTAAAATCATTGTTTACACACCTTCCAAAAATAGTGAAACCAGTTAAACTCATCAAAAAAATGTAAGTAATTCACTCTCAACTACTCAATCTGATACTTACTGTCATTATAACTTGGACCAATGAATACTATTTGAAATAATATTTACAAATCCATCGGTCTACCTAATTTGACGTAATATGGATATCTTAATACGTATTAATGAAACTAAAAATCTTAATCTTATTCTTAGTTTGAGTATCAAAGGCAACACTGATGCCATTAAGTTTGCTTTATTTGCATCATGCATGTGCGCAATTTACAAGGCTGCCTTATGTATTATGAGAAGAATTACTGGTGATGATAAAATAAATGCAGGTGTAGCTGGATTTTTATCAGCTTTTGCAATTCTTCTTGATGCCAAATCCAGAAGACTTTTCTTATCTCTAGTCTTTTTCTCAAGAGCATTAGTAAACTCTATTTATTATTAATTGAATTTTAGGATGTGTTTGTGAACATGTTGGAGAAGCGTGGCATTATCAAAAAGATCAATGGATTTGAGGTATGGGCTTGGGCAGTCATGGGATGCTTTAATAAATATTGCATGTCGTATGAGCCTGAATGTCTAAACAATGGATTTAGAAAATTCTACTTGAAAGCTTCAGCTATGACTTAAAATGATATAATAATGTGTGATACATGGGCTAAATCACTCATTAAACAAAAGCAAGGAGGTTAATGAGAAGTGTAATTCAGCAGATGATTTCAATAATTTATATGAGGTATGTTAAAACATAGCCTGAAATGGAAATAATTTAATGCATGTCTATTTTAATCGATCAAGCAATTTAAAATTAGTTCAAGTATTCTCCTAATCCTCTTTATTTGAATTTGATGGGGTTTTGGGGTTTTGGGGTTTTGGGGTTTTGGGG